AAAAATATAAGTAATATAATGTAAAAAATAATTTAAAAATAAAAAAAAATAAAAAAATTGGGGCGCTATGGGCCATAGCTCCACTGCGGCGCTACATAGCGTCAGTTTTAAAAAAATACATATTATTTATTTTAAAATTACATTTTTATAAAACTTAATTTTCTTTTTATAATTATATAATAAATAGTTCAGTTTATTATGTTTATTTTACATTATTATTATTTTCGTTTTTTTTTACTTAGTGTCGCTATGAGCTACATAATTTTTTTAAGCGCATCAGCTGTGGTGGGCCAGCCTATAGCGATACTGGTCCAGCCCAACCAAGCCCAAAAAAAAAAAAAGCCACGTGTCATGGGTGTCGCTATGGCCCATAGCGACACCCAATAAAACAGCCATAAAGGTGTAATATGTTTCAAAACAACCCCATTTTGGTATATAGTTTGTAAAACTGCACCACAATGGTTGTTTAGCCATTTTCAAGAGAGCTTGTCTGACTCCGCCTTAACTGGTATATTTAGCTAGATAGAGTAAAAGTTTAGACATGGAAGTAGCTCGTTGACACTTTCCTCAAGTGATATAAGTACAATATCGACCTGACTCCTGACAGGTCGGGTTTGTAGAGCCTGAGCAAGAAAAGTGATGAGCCTTTCAAAGCTTATGCACAAAGGTGAGGGGAGCTGGCCACAGAAGTGGAACCCCTTTATTTGATAAGGAAACGGTTATGATGTTTATCAACTCCTTGAGTGGGCCATATTATGACAAGATAATAGGGAACACCTCAACCCTTTTCGTCGACATAGTCATTATAGGTGAGACGGTTGAGCAAGGTCTAAAAAGCGAGAGGATAGGTAAGGCCCCAATGAGCTACGACCCCAAGAAATTCTATGGAATGAAGAAGGAAGAAGGGGTCAATGCCATCACATTTTCTCCAAAGAAAGGTCTTCATAGCCAAAATTGGGTTCGAGGTCGGTTACATGTAGGGAAGGTAGATTTAGGTACCCCTACAATGCCCTAAATTGGTACTCTATGATGAAATTAGCATAATAATAAATAATATTTTAAATGTCTTATCCTCTTTTATTATTTTATATTATTTACATGACGAAAAATACCTATTATCTACATGATTATTTATTGACATATAAGAACTATAAATAAAATAAATAAAAGGATAAATAATAAATAAAACAATAAATAAAAGAATAAATAAAAAAGAAGAATTTAGAACCTCTGAAATAAGCTTTATAAGGGAATCTTCCCAAATGCGTGCGGGGCATGTTTTGGTAGCCCTTCGCTCTACAAAAATCTCACTATCACTCAAAGATTTATATAGAGAAGGGGGAAAGCTATGCAACTTTTCTTTCCTCAATCCCTTGGCCAGAGGGTTTCTTATATAGCCAACTAGGAGACAGAAGTATAAGAGAGTTATCCGATGTGGGACTAAATTTTATAAAAATATAATCTTTTTCTAGGCACCATGCAGGATCTCTAGAGAACTTGTTAACCGTTGAATCATGCTGGTTCTTTTTATGGTATCCTCAAAATATATTAAGCTTCAATTTCAATGGTTGGATCGTTGAAATTAGGTCTGTTGTGAGAGATACTATCATAACAAAAATATTGTCTGGTATAAGACTCATATTTTCCAGGTTCAATGCGAGGCCTCTAGAGAAATCAATAATCGTTGGATCATGCTAAAAAATTGATGATATCTTCTTAATACATTTATCCTTAACTTCAACGGTCAGATCGGGAAAATTAGGTCTTTAGAGAGAGATATTTCAGAACAAAAATGCTTCGCAATGCAAAATTTTCTAAAAAAGGGAATGAGTCGTTCTAGTTTCGGGACGGGTCGTTCCAATATTGGGAATGACTCATTGCAATTTGGGAACGACTGTTCCGTGCCTCGGATCAGTTATTTTGAGGTTTTTTGGGCCTTTCGGAGCCATCTTGGCCCATTTTGGTGCTTTATTGGGCCCTTAAGGCCTGTATGTGCTGTTTTTTTCAACTGTAGTGCGAGGCTTCTAGAGAACTCGTTAACCGTTGGATCATGTTGAAATTTTGATGATATCTTCTCAATATATTGATATTTAATTTCAACGGCTGGATCATCAAAATTAGGTTTATAACGAGAGATATTATCAAAACAAAAATGTTGTCCAACGCGTTAGGTCCTTCAAAGGCCGTTTGTCTCGCTCTAGGAGACCTTTGTCCTTGGTTTCTGTATCCCGAACGAAATTGAGTGTCTACAATTGGGTTGGATTTTCAATAATACTAAAATTTGCAAATATTTTTGAACCCAATCCAACTCAAATTCGTGATGAATTGGGTTGACTTACAGATTGTAACTCGTTTTAACAGCTCTAATGGTTATTGATGAATCATGAATCAATTTCTCCACTTATTTATTTTTTATTATTTTCATTGAATAACCTTTATATAAATTTTCTTATGTTATTTTTATAATTTTGTGTTTTTTAGTTTATTGTTATTTTTATAATATATTTCGTATCTAAATTATTAAGTTAAATAGTTATAATTAAACTAAAATATTCAAATAGTTTAATATTATTTATATTTATTCTGTTCTTAAATTTTAAATATTTTCAATTTTTAAGAAATTTATACCGGAAAAGTCGAGGTGTACGATCGAGTACAGGTGTCCGGCCATGATTGACCGGGTCATCTCGACTTTCCTAGTACACAGGTGTTTAAAGTTTTTATTTAGGGTCATCTTTGATACATTTTGGGTCATTCTTATGATTTTTTTTCTTAAAAAAGAATTGTGCATTTTAATAATTTTTATATAGATAAATTAATCAATACAAGTTTTGCGACTTGACGTTGCCTAATTAAAGTCAAATTTAACATTAAGTTTAGTTGTTTAAAATTTTTATTTTACTCCCTGTAACGTATCTTGAGTTAATTATATTTTAATCTTTAATTTGTTTTGAAATTCGATTCTTAGTGCTAATTAAAGTCAATTTTATCATTAAGTTTAATTGTTAAAAATTTTTATTTGATTGCCGATAATATTTTTGAGTTAATTATGTTTTAGTACTTAAAATTTTTTAAAATTCAATTGTTAGTCTTTGAAATAAGAGTTTGACTTGTCAAGGTCTTTAATTTTTTTAGTTATGATTTTTTAGTCTCTAAATAAATATTTGATCCGTCAAAGCTTCTTATATTTTTAAAAATTCAGGGTTTAGTCCCAAAAATTTTATTAAATAAATAAAAAATAATGAGATTCAAACAGTTGTTTAGAGACTACAAACTAAATTTGTAAAAATTTAAGGACCTTAACCGGTAAAATTTTTGTTTAAAAATTAAAAACCTTAATGAGAAAAAGTTGAAGGACTTTGACTGGTTAAACTTTATTTGACAACTAAAATCTAAATTTTGAAAAGGTTTAGAAATTAAAAACTAATTTAACTCATATTTTTTTAAAAAATATTTATCAAAATAATTAACGATTTCCCTTTTAAAATAATCAATTACAAATTAAAAATAATTATTTTAATTTGACCGTAAATGAAACACAAATATTATAATTAATAATATTAATATTTCTTAAAAGATTACATTAAAAACAAAAAAAAAATGGAATTATAAAAAAATAACAATACAGAAGTTGATTAGTGGGCAACCCATTTTTCAATGCTGAATAGTATTTTATATATTTTGGTAAATAATGTTGAACATTCATTATTTGATTAATTATTTAATTTTTATTAAAATGGTTTAAAATCCCCTTTTTGTCAATTTGTATGCGAGTGTTTACAAAATTTGGAAATTTTACTTACCTTTTTTTATTTTAAAAAAATCATCTTATATATAAAATCACCCTACGTTTCCATGCATATTAAATGATTATCATAAATCTAAATATATAAAAATCATTACTCAATATATAAGATTTTAAAATAATAAAAGAGAATAAAATTGATATCCTCTTAATAGACTTTGATGTATTTATCCACTCCAACTAAAATAGTTTAGTTTTGGCAACTAATAACCACTAATATTTTCATTGAGTCATCATCGTTCTAGTTTTAATAACACTTATTATATTACCTTTTTTTTTCTCTATGTCTTTATTTCTTTGTCTTTTTTTATTATTTACATAAAAAGCATATATTAATAAATGATATTTTTTTTAAAACATAGGATCGCTAACACGAGCTTTCCTTATCGCCATTATAAAAAAAAATCTTTATAAACATGATCAACAATCAAATATATAATGTACCTAGAACTCAACTATTTATCAAGCATGTTAAACTTTGTTACTTTTGGTCACACTTCAAACCACACAAACCCACCCACCCAAGGTATATGCATCGATACTTTTCGTTCGTTTGCAATTGAAAACCCCATTGGTTTCGTGGAAAGGACGTGGAAATTTTAAGGAAAATCCTAAGTACAACTTTTCCGTACAATAATTGATCATAAATGGGAAACCTAAAACTTTTCTACTTTACTTCTCCACGAAGTAGTCTTGTTCTTTGCGAGCTTTTAAGTAGACCAAGACTTAACTCGTTTACCCAAGTAGTCTTCTTTATGATATACCTTCACACATTCTGAGTTTGGTTGATTTGTGATTTTGTTGTGACCCATTGTTTTGTAGACTCATGGAGATGACACCGAAGGAGCACATTGAGAATATACGAAGGAGCAAATACTCGATTGGGGGAGAACCAAACCCACTGCGTGAGGACTTGCACCAAGCCACAAAGAACCTCTCCACTGAGCTTTATGCCAAAGATGTTCATTTTCTCATGGAGCTCATTCAGGTACCCATCATTTCTCTATTTCACTTCTTTTCTTATATATATAATATGCTATTGCTTATGTTTCATGCATTGCGTATAATTTTGCTATAAAGAATTTGTTAATTCACACTCACTAGTACATATTAGTTTATTAATTTAGTTTTTTTTTTAAATAAATAAATAAGTGTAAGTTAACAATTATTTTGTATAGTTTACTAACATACACTTATTTCTTTTTCAAAAAAAGTTTATTTGTAAGTTGTTATTATAATATTCTTTAAAATTTACTTAGATGTAGTTTAGTTACTTATTTCTTGTCAAAAAATAAGTAGGTATAAGTTAACAAATCTTATATATAAAGAGAGAAAAGAGGGATCCGTTCAATAACTCATTTTTCATCAAATTTAAATAATCTGACTTCCGATCGTTGAATTTAAAAAATGTATGCAAATTTTTAAGAAATTTAAAAATTATTTAATACTTCATTTAATCAATTCAAATAATTATCATATACAAATCAGTAAATTATTAAGATTTTATTAGATTTCATTAATTTTAATACAAAAATTAACTAATAAATTTTTATTATAATTTTTAAAATTAAGTAAATAAAATTATTTTGTAACTAAATTTTTTTAAAGAATATTTTTTATCATTATGTTTTAAAAAGAAAAATTATAGCGGTGGTTTTAAAAATTATAATTTTTACAATTTAAAAAATAAAATCATTATAGTGGTGTTTATAAACTGTCACTTTGTTAAAATTATATATTTTTTTTGTCATATATAATTTTAAAATAAAATTTAAATGGTGGCGGTTATATCTGTCGCTGTGTAAAGCATGTGACAATTTTCTAATGGCAGTTCTAAACTGCGTAATTTTGTAAAAAAGAAAAAAAAAATTGTAATGTTGTGAAGCTAATGGTATTTAAAATTAAGGGACTAAATTAAAACTTTTAATAATAAAAGAACTAAATTAAAACAACTAAATAAATGAATTACCAAATTAGTAATTTAGCTTAAGTAATTAAAAGCATCGTAAATTTTTTCTTCTAATGTCTATTATTATTAAGCTTGAATAGTGTTCAACATTATAGTAAGCAAAGACAAAATTAAAAAAACACATTAAAGGTGTTGGATTTAAAAAAACGCAAAATAGCAAGCTGCAAACGAAAGCAGGTATCAAATGATTGCAAAATGCTATATATCAACTAATTAAGATAGCATATAATAGGATTTATCAAGTGCTAATTGAAAAAAGTAAAGTCAAAATTTGCTTTGTAAACGTACCATGGATGATTGTGTTCTACAAGTTTAATATGCAACTATTCTGTAAATTGAATTATTCGGTTTTGTAGATTTATCAGTTTTAGTACTAATCCTGTAACTAATTAAAAAAAAAAAAATTGGCATGCATTTGTAAATTGTAACTAATAAAGAAGAGTAATTACAAAAAAGAAACATAATTTGATCCGGTCATTTATTTTTTATTCTATGTCTAGTCTTTTACTAGTAGTCTAACCAGATATTAATAGCTGGTCACCTAAATTTTCATAATTTTACTTTTGGATATTATTTAAAAGATTTTTTAATCAATAAAGATAATTGTGTGTATATAATAAATTTATGTTCATCCTCTTATTTGAACATGTGGAACTTTACTTGCATTCCAACATTATCATTTAATTAGTGGTTACCATCATCAATTTCTTGTGACATTCACAGAATGCTGAAGATAACAAGTATGCTGAAGGAGTGAGTCCATCACTTGAATTCATCATAACATCAAAGGACGTAACAGCCACTGGAGCTGAAGCCACATTACTAATTTTCAACAATGAAAAGGGTTTCTCTACCGAAAACATTGAATCTATATGCAGTGTTGGACGGTCCACAAAGAAAGGCAACAGGAGTAGTGGTTACATAGGCGAGAAAGGTACATTCTCTCTCTTAAATGTCTCAACAAAAGGCTTTTGTAGTTCTGTTCCATGAAGGACAAGGCATAATGTGCTTGCTTTCTGTGATGATTGATAAATATTTTAAATGCATGCATGCATATAACTAGACTGAATTAGTTTTGTATTAGACGAATCATCCTATTTGTATTGACCTGGCCTTTCGAAAGATAACATGTTTTGAAAAACATAACATGTTTAAATTTGAGAACTATATATTGCACAAGAAACACAGCCATGTTTGACACAACATTTTAAAATTAGTCTTTGTTTCTTTTCTTTTCTTTAGATTTTATGTTGTCTCTTATCGAAAAATCTACGGGAGTAACTAACTTTTCTCTAAGAATAAATCCTAAATCATATGTTTATGAGCTATAATCAAAATGGTGAATTTGGTTTGGAACACTATTACTATCATTATAACTATCTCCCATGAAACTTTTATAAGACTGTATGGAGGATTGTGTTTCTAAAAACTCAGAAGATGGTTCTGAAATTTCAGATTGTATTTCTAATTTGTCAAGGTATAACTTACTTTTGAAATCTAATTCATTATCATACCATTTACCGGCATCTATATGTAGAGTCTCTTCTAAATTGTGGTCCTGTTTTTTGTCATCACAAATTTCATCACTAATTTATGAAAATAATTTTTTCTTAAAAATGAAGTCATCTTCCTCATCTTTAGTGTCTTCATTCTCATTTTTATAACCCTGGAAAACAGTTTCAGCCTGTTGTTTTTCAAGCTATTTTTGTTTTTCCCATCTTTCTACACAGCTAGGAGTAGTCTAGGTGAGAGTTGGCATTCACCTAATTGACTTTCATCCTCCTTCTCTTCTTGTTCACAATTTGGAACATAAGATTCAAAATATGAACCGTACCATAAATTCATCAGGGACTTTCTAAAGGGTTATTCCTCTTCTTCTTCTCTTAAATCAGGAGTTTGTATATTCTCATAATCAGTTAATCTAACCGAGAGACTATTCCTCCTATTTGTCATTATGGCTATTTGACGCTGTTATGGCTGTTCTAGAAGAGCCAGAATTAGATGTGTTTGTCATTCAATGCCTTAGTTTCTTCTAGATTCAAATATTTTGGGAGGAAGAAATTGTATTCCGTTTGATCCTAATGAGGTTATCAAAGGGTTTGTATTGATCCTATATCTAGGAGATATCTGATCACTAATTCTTCTTATGGAGGTTATGTCTAAATGGAGATTATTTCCATAGAAGTTTTCTCCAAAACCTTTTGTTTGCATTTCTAAATTTATGTTTTGTATGAAATCGGAAATATTCATTGTAAAGTTTGGAGCTATGTATATCAAGGAAACAGGTTGATTAAGATCTACCTCGATTATCCCTATTATTGCCTGGGAGTTACTATCCCTAAACCTCTGGTCAAAAAGAACTAAGAAAGCTTTTGCTCCAACGAAAGATCTTGTTGGAGTCCTGATTCCTATAGTGATTAGTCCTAAATGGACATATCTTCTATTGGTTCTTAAGAGTTGTCTACCAGTTTGTTCATAAATTAATCTTATAATTTCATTTTGTCCATCCAGTAGATGAAAATCATCTAATCGACGGTACCTATATACGCTAGTTCTATCAGAACTTAGCCAATTTAGGTTGTAAAGTTGTCTAGGATTAAGAGAATCTATCCTAGCATTTGTTCCTATGTCTATATTAGATTGTATGTCTACTATTTCTTCTAGTTGCCTAATACTAGAATTTGTTCTTCTAAGGAACCTATCTAAGATCCCTAGTTGTTGATTTATTGCTTCAACAATAGGTATACACCTAGAAAGGGTTTGTGAAGTTCCTGTAAAAGGAAGAGTTTGTGTCCTGATATTCATTTTCTTGGCTTAGCAAGAATGAATTTGTTAGAAACCTGTGTAGAGGAGGTATTACTACCTAATGAAAGTTTGGAGAGTTGGTTGGAAATTTTATCTAATTTTCCGTTTATGGGAGTGAATCTTGTTTTTATAAGCTCAAAAGCTCTGTCAAGTTTTTCTTCTAAATTCTTAATCTTATTGAGGATAAGATTTTGGGTTTTGTGAATGATTTCGATATTCTTGGAAGGCTCTTCTAAATCTCTTCTAGTGACTAGATCTTTATAGCTCTGATACCAGTAAAAAAACTGATATCAGCTTTTTTTTATAAATTAATAAACAAAAATAAAAAAATATAAATATAAACCAGTACCAATAAAGGTGGCAAAGCCTCCTAGTTAGGAATGGTTTATATAATTCCATGTTTAAGAAAATAGATTATAAAAACTTAAAAATAAAGATGCACAGATCGATAAAAGGAAGAGGTAAAAAGAGATAACACAGTTCTTAGGATTACACAACGAATTATAATGTTTAACATAATATAAAATATAATGAACTACCAGAACTCTTTTATTTGAGAAATTGGAATTTCTTATTTAGACCTTATATGTAGAAAAGAAAAATTGGTAGTTTTCTGCCTCTTCTGGCAAGCTTGAGGTCTTACAACAGCCCAGCCTTTGGGTCTTACAATAGCCTCATTTTAGTCTGCAGACAAACTATTAATTTTTCTTTCTTTAAGGCCAATAAACATTTATCAAGGGCACACCTGAAAAATTCAAGCTTACAAATCCCAGGTTTTAGCAAAAACCATTTTCTCAAATGAGTTCTAAATTCTAAATTACATTTGCATATGTTAAATAAAATAATTACGACATTCTAAGAACTAACATGGATAGTTTAGCCAACCATACTTATAGAAGAATACTTACAACAATTTTATTGATGATCATGATATTACACAACTTACAAGTAACACACTCAGATTGATTTTTTATTTGCAGGAATCCTTTCATCTTGTTTCAATCTTCTATTCTTCTCCACTTTTTTTTTATTTGGAGACTAATATTTCATCTAAATAAAAAAATCAATCTGAGTGTGTTACTTGTAAGCTGTGTAATATCATCATTATCAATAAAATTGTTGTAAGTATTCTTCTATAAGGATGGTTGGCTAAACTATCCGTGGAAGTTCTTAGGATGCCGTAGTTATTTTTATTTAACATATGCGAATGTAATGTATAACTCAGAACTCTTTTGAGAAAATGGTTTTTGCTAAAACCTGGGATTTGTAAGCTTGAATTTTTCAGGTGTGCCCTTGATAAATGTTTATTGGCCTTAAAGAAAGAAAAATTAATAGTTTGTCTACAAGCTAAAATGAGGTCATTGTAAGACCCAAAGGTTGGGCTGTTGTAAGTCCTCAAGCTTGCCAGAAGAGGTAGAAAACTATCAATTTTTCTTTTTTACATATAAGGTCTAAATAAGAAATCCCAATTTTTCAAAAAAAGAGTTCTGGTTGTTCATTATATTCTATATTTTGTTAAACATTATAACTCGTTGTGTAATCCTAAGAACAGCCTTATCTCTTTATACCGCTTCCTTTTATTGACCTGCACATCTTTATTTTTAAGTTGTTATAATCTAATTTCTTAAACTTGGAATTATATAAACCATTCCTAACTAGGAGGCTCTGCCACCTTTATTGGTACTGGTTTATATTTATATTTTTTTTATTTTTGTTTATTAATTTATAAAAAAAGCACTCTCTTCACAAGCACTCTTTTCACAAAATGAAACTACTAGACATTTATTTAAAATTAAAAGGATCATGCCATGGTTCTAAATTGCAATTGCGGCCATTGCGTTTGCTGTGATGTAGATGACGACTGTTGCAACATAAAATTATTATATATTTGTGATGGGGTTATATTGTGGTATTTTGTCTGAGAGGATATTTTATGAATTATTTTTATAAGGTTATTACACAAACATACTCCACAATGATGAGATATTGTCCGCTTTGGGCCTTAGCCCTCACGGTTTTGCTTTTGGTCATCACCCAATTTATCGAATCCCAACAATCCTCCTCTCAAACAAGGGACCTAACCTACCGAATCCAACCTGCGGCTCTGATACCACTGATGGGGTTATATTGTGGTATTTGTCTGAGAGGATATTTTATGAATTATTTTTATAAGGTTATTACACAAACATACTCCACAATGATGAGATATTGTCCGCTTTGGGCCTTAGCCCTCACGATTTTGCTTTTGGTCATCACCCAAAAGGCCTCTTAATCATTGAAGTATGTTTGTATTATATAAGTTGTTATTTGTTGTATTATTTTATCGATGTGAGACTTGTTTGAATCCCAACAATTTGCATAGAATATAAACAAATAATTTTGTAATAATAAAAATCAATCAGATCTCTTTTTCTTTATTTTTTTACTCCAAACTCTTTTCCCTCAATGTATCATACATCTCTCAACACTTCAATCAACTATCGTTAGTTGTCTTTCTCCTTCTCTTAACATCTCATGTGACAAGTTTATTAAATTATAAGATTAAAACTTGAATCTATGTATATTTTTTGACACAAAAAATTGGAATAAAATGGTATTATGGATCTATTATGATAGTGTCGCAGTCGCATTGCAGAATTTTCTGTAATTTAAAATCACACCATAATTGCATGTCGTTGTAGCTGCAGTGAGCATTGCAATAGCAATATTGCTGTTTGCGGATCGCAATTTAAAATTATGGATCATGCATTAATTTAGAGTGACCATATGAAACAAAAAGATCCAAATGTTTGACAGAATATCTCCTTCTGTTGAATTGCAGGAATTGGTTTCAAGAGTGTATTTCTGCTTACTGCTCATCCTTATATATTTAGCAATGGATATCAGATACGGTTCAGTGAGAAACCTTGTCCACACTGTGACATCGGGTATATAGTTCCTGAATGGGTTGATGAGAATCCATCCCTTGATGACATAAAGCAGATATATGGTGCTGGTTCCCTCCCAACTACCACAATTGTCTTACCTCTAAAGCCAGACAAGGTCAAACCTGTGAAGCAACAGCTCTCAAACATTCATCCAGAAGTTCTGTTGTTCCTTTCAAAAATCAGACACCTGTCTGTAAGGGAAGATAATGAGGATCCCAAGCTGAATACTGTGAATTCTGTATCTATTTCTAGCGAGAAAGAATTTTGCACTAGGAAAAACATGAATGCTGAGTCCTACACACTTCATCTCTCTGCTGAGGAAAATGGTGGTTCTGGAAAGGAATGCAGCTACTATATGTGGAAGCAAAAGTTTCCTGTGAGGTTGGAAAATGTGGTGGAAAGGAGAGAGGATGTGGAGGAGTGGGTTGTAACATTAGCCTTTCCAAATCAGGAGAGGCTTCATAGGGGAAGGAGCTTACCTGGGGTCTATTCATTTCTTCCCACAGAGATGGTCACTAATTTTCCCTTTATAATTCAAGCAGATTTTGTCCTGGCCTCATCAAGGGAGACAATTCTCTTGGACAATAAGTGGAACCAAGGGATACTGGAATGTGTTCCATCAGCTTTTATGGGTGCATTGAGAACACTTGTCATTGGATCAGATCAAGCTCCAATATTCAGTTTACCCCCCTTCTTCAGGTTCCTTCCCACTGATAGTTCTCCTTTTGAAAAGTTAAATTGTGTGAGGGAGAAAATCAAACAAAAAATGCTTCAAGAAAGCATTATTCCTATTGAGACATACAAGGAGCAGAAGCACTTCTATAAGCCTTGTGAAGTTGGCAGGCTACTGCCCGAATTCTGGGACATTTTGGCTGAGGCTCAGGAAGAAGGAGTATACTTGCATAACCTGTCATCTCACAATGGGAGGAAAATCTTGAGTTCTTCATTTGATAAAACTGAGTATGATCACATTCTCAACTTTTTAGAGGTAAAAGAAGTTGACACTGATTGGTATGCAAAGTGCATCCAAAGTTCTAATCTTGTGGATGGAGTACCAGATGTTGTTTATCTGAAGCTTTTACTGTTTATTGCCACAAATTGGTTCAGATTTAAAAGCTCCAACATGATGGACATTCCATTAATTAAATATGTGGATTCTGACGGGAAATTGTCCCATTTCACTCTTGATCAATGCAACAACCGCTATGGGGCCAAGCAAATAGTCCTAGCAGATCCAAGTCCATCTTGTCCTTGCTCTTGGCTGATTGATTGGAACGGCGAATTTGAATGTAAAACCTCCCGATTTTTTATGCCAGAAGTAACACAACAAGCTATCTTGTGTTCGCCCCGCAGGCAGACTTTGTTGGAATGGCTAGAAAATCAGGTTCATGTTACTACTTTGAAGGTGTACACTTTTGCAAAAGTCCTTTGTAGTTCTATAAAAAGTAACTCCAAGCTTGCCATTAAATATACTCATTTCTTATATCACTCTTTCTCAAAGAGATATTTATCAGACAGTGAGGTTAATGATTTGTGTCGTTCCATGCCACTTGTGGACAACTATGGACATGTGACTGAATGCAGAAAAGGAGTTCTTGTGCCTGCAAATGTGAGCAAATGGGCAGACTTGATTGTTTCCAATCCATGGAGAAATGAAAATTATGTTGAGCTGGGAAAGGAGTACCTGAATCCATCTCATTATGCAGGCCAATACACTGGTTCTGGGAAGCTCATAGAATTCCTCAAAAATCATGTTGAGGCTTCTGATATACCTTATATATACCCTCCAAATGCTGGGTTTTCTGCTGTTGATACACCACTTACCAAAGGCAATGCCTTTTTGCTTTTGGATTGGATTCGAAACCTGAAGTATAGAGGTGTGCATCTACCAGAGAGGTTCTTGAAATGCATAAAGGAAGGAAGTTGGCTTAAAGTTACTGCCATTGGATGGAGGCCACCTTCAAAATCCTTCTTAATTGGCTCATCATTGGGAAGAATTTTGCAAAGTGGTTCTGTTCTTGTTGATATTCCACTGATTGATGAGAGCTTCTATGGGAATCAAATAAATGGGTACAAGGAGGAGTTGAAAACAATTGGGGTGATGTTCAGTTGTGAGGAAGCATGTCAATTCATTGGAAGAGAACTAATGTCTCGTGCAGCTTCTTTTACTTTAAGCAGTAGTCATATTCTTTTGATGCTTGAATTCATCCAACATCTGAGGCAAAATTATCTTCCTTTAGACGATTTTGTCAACAGCATCAAAGAGGAAAGTTGGCTAAGGACATCTAATGGTCTCAGGTCTCCTATAGGATCTGTATTGTATGATTCAGGATGGCAAGTTGCTTCACAAATTAGTGCTATCCCTTTCATTGATAAGGGCTATTTTGGTGAGGAAATTTATAATTTTAAAGAGGTGCTCGAGTTGTTGGATGTTGTAGTTGGCTTCAATGGAAACTACCAAGTTATTATTGACCATTTAAAATCACCCTCAGATTTGGTCAATATGACAGCTGAGGCTGTTCTTTTGATAATGGAATGTATACGATTCTCGCGTGCCTCTAGTAAACTCATAAACCCACTCAGGGGAACAAACTGCTTGAAGACAAACATGGGTTTCAAAGCACCAGATGAATGTTTTTTGTATGATCCTGTATATGGCTGCATTTTGGAGGTATTCGATGGTCTTCCTGTGATAAATAGTAAATTCTATGGAGAGAAAATTTTCACATACAAGGATGAATTGAAGCAAATGGGAGTGGTGGTTGACTTTATGGAGGCTATCCAAAAAGTTGAGCATCTCTTCAAACAGAAGGCGTCAGAGACTTCCTTAAACCCACAGAATGTTCTATCATTTCTTTCATGCTGCAGGTTGCTGAAGGGAACTGGATGTGAATTCCCTTCCAGTTTCTCATTAATCATTGGTGATATGAAGTGGTTACAAACTGTGGTTGGTGATCATAGGCGTCCAAGAAAATGCATTCTATATGGTCCAGAGTGGAAAGCCATCTCTTCAATAGCTCGTCTCCCTTTCATTGATGAAAGTGACAATTGCTACGGTAAGGGAATACATGAATATAAGGAAGAGCTGAAGAGCATTGGTGTTGTTACTCAACTGAAAGACGGGGTGAAGTTTCTTCCTAAATACTTGAATTTTCCTTCAGATCCTTCCACTATTACTCCTGAGAGTGTGTTTTCATTGCTAGAATGCATCCGTGTTCGAATGCAAGGGGGCATTCTCTCCATTGGAGATGACTTCAAGAAAAAAATGTCTAGAAATTGGTTGAAAACACATGCTGGTTATAGGCCTCCAGAAAAGTGTTTGTTGTTTGATTCCGAGTGGAATTTGTACCTCAAGCCAACTGATGGGCCTTTCATTGATGAGGGTTTTTATGGACATGAAATTGCTTCTTACAAGAAAGAACTCAATGCAATTGGAGTCACCATTGATGTTGAAAAAGGGTGCTTCTTGGTCGCTAGTCACCTTGACTCTCTCTCTGATGATGACACCATTGTGCAAATATATAGGTACTCCTTTTTTCTCCCAAGAAGATTAATCTTTTTTTCTCTTTTCAGTTCAAAATATTATGCTCAAGACGATATATATGATGATTTCTATCTGATTATTACAACATTGTGCAATTGTATAGGTACTTGAGTGAACACAAGTGGAAACCTGAGAAAAAGGCTTCCAGAAAGATTTGGATTCCAGAAAGTGCAAAGTGGGTCCATTCTGGACAATGTGTCATACATGACCAGGATAATCTCTTTGGTTCAAAGTTTTATGTTCTGGGGGATATTTATGAAGAGAAGATTCTTCAATTTTTCTCTATTGCCATGGAAGTCCGGAACAAACCCTCACTTGATGATTATGTCAACCTTTGGAATGATTGGGAGAGTTCAGTGGAACAGTTGTCATATGACAAGTGCTGTAAGTTCTGGATGTTTATGTTGAAACATTCAACAAAAAAAACCGGGGAGAAACTTTCTGACTGCTTAGAGAAACTTTCTGACTGCTTAGAGAAACTGCCTGCAACATCAGGCAACAATGAGATATTTTTGTTAGATAAGAATGATGTTTTTATTCCTGATAACCTTCATCTGAAAAAGCTTTTTGAGCAGGAGAAAGTCTTTGTCTGGTATCCTCAAAACTTGGCACCAGTATCCAGGTGTGAATTGTTTGACATGTACAGAAAAATTGGTGCTAGAAATATCTCTGAATCTCTATGCAAGGAAGAGTCATCCTTACTCAATGGTGTTCAACTCAAGCAGGTTAATCCTGATAGTATTTGTAATGTAAAGGGATTGGTTAAGCTTATTCTTGGTTTTCTTTCTTGTTCTAGCCTAAAAATGGAACCAAACAGGAGGCATGAAGCTGTTCAAGCTCTACTCAACCTGAGTTTTTTTGAGACTATGGATTCAGTCACTGTAAGTTACAGTTTGAAACTATCATCAGGGAAAATCATTACCAAAACTGCAGACAGAATGGTACAGTGGGAAAGGCAAAGTTCCAAGTTTTTCACCGAATTGAACTGGCAAAATGGCAATGCAAGTTTAATAAAATATGCCACATATTTCTCAGAAGCCATATCAGAGGGCATTTTGTGCGAGAATCATGATCATGTTCCTGCACTCTCTGAGCTCATCACATTAGCTTTTCTGCTGAAATTCAACAATGAAGAAATTGAATTTCTTATGGAGTCCAGGAACTTGCACTGTGAGGATGATGAGTTCCTCAATTCTTCCTTCCCATCTGATTAAGTCTTCTCCATTGGTTTTAAAATGCTTTAATTCAGTTACTAAGCATATGCCTATTCATAAATTATGCTTCTGAGGTTTCTTGTTACTTTGTTAGTGGTATGTGATTACTTAATGATATAAAGTAAAATGTAGTATTGAACGTTAAGACTTGAAGAATTATTAGTTGCTCAATTTCATGATCAATGCTTTGGCTTTATTGTATGGCTGAATATTACTTGTGTCCATATTATCCTTCTGTCTTTACTTTTGTGTGATGAACATTTGGACTTAACTGCAGTCATGGACCTCGAATTTCACCAAGTGTTGTTTCATTTCTTTAATTCTACATGCCGAAATCAAAGCTCTGAAGTTACGTGGGATTTTACAGTAGAATTTGCTTCAGAAGAAACTAAATTAGATAATTTGTTCAACGGGTGGTATTGGATCAAAATTTTATAAGATATTTTTAACATAAAAAAGTCTCATAAATTTTAAAAAACTTTGTAAGAATTTAATAATTTCTAAGATTTTTTTAAAAAATATAATGATTTTTAAGATTTTTTAAAAGACTTTTTTAATTAAGATTTTGTAATATAAATTTAGTATATTTGTATGTTAAAAATTTATAAGATTTGAAAGGATTTTATTAGATTTTGAAGGACAATATGAAATTTTAAAAGACAATATAATTAATTAAAATAATAATATAAATAACAAAGTTTGAATAAAGAAAATAAAAATGAATAAATTTTGTAATCTTTTAATAAATAATTGATTATGATTTCACGTTCTTTTATAACATATCTATATATAACTCTATGTATTTATATTTTTTCATTCATACTAATGAATTTGAAAATATTTTCAAATTTATGATATTCATTAACTAGAGAGTTGTCAAAAATATATTAAAAATTGTGTTTAAAAATTTTGATATTTCAATATTAAATTTTATTAAATTTTTTTTTAATAATTTAACAATATGTAATATTTGTTCACACCAAAATCTTGTAGTTGCTTCAACGACCAAGATGTCGTCCTAGCTAGTCTAATGCTTGCACTTGCAAAGACATTACAACATTGTCTTAGAGGAGATTTTAGTTTAATAATTAGGTTTCGGTAGGATAATACATGGTGAATGTCAGAATTCGAAAAATTCTAACCTTACCAACAGATGGTTTGGACCTCCGTTTTAAAAATTTCATCAGCTTTGGATTGCTCGAAGACAGGACTAATGCTCCATCTGATGATTTTGAAAAGAGTTCAAAGGAGTCGTCACCGATATTTTACATAAAAACATTAGAAAAAGAAAAGGTTTTCAAAAAGACGACTTTGGCCTTCATAGCCAAAGTCGGGTTCGGGAGTTGGTTACATGCAGGGAAGGTATTAGGCACCCTACAATGCCCAAATTTGGTACCCTGTGCCAAATTTAGCGTAATAACGACGTAATTAAATTTCTACCTCTTTTATTTTATTAAACATACAATAGTTTATCTCTACATTATCCTAGTCTACAACATACATGTCACTTTCATTATCTACATGGTGCTTGTTCTATGCATGCTAGAAAAATAATAAACAAAGCAATAAATAAAAGAGAAGAATTGGGAAGGTATTAGACATCCTACAACGCCCAAATTTGGTACCCTATGACAAATTTAGCGTAATATATATTGGCATAATTAAATTTCTACCCTTTTTATTTTATTAAACATATAATAGTTTATCTCTACATTATCCTAGTCTACAACATAAGCGTCACTTTCATTATCTACATGGTGCTTGTTCTATGCATACAGGAAAAGCGATAAACAAAATAGTAAATAAAAAAGAAGAATTAGGAACCTCTGGTGTAAGCTTTTTGTAAATCATCTTGTAAATCAACACAAGGGTACTTTTTGACAGCCTTTTCACTTTACAAGAACCTCATTATCACTCAAAATTCTCAAGAAGGGAGGAAGGAATCAAGTGTTTGGAAGAATGAGCCCTTGGCACGCTTTTATAAGCATCCAGGGAAGGGGAATGGCCGTTCCCAACACTGGAACAATCGTTCCACACCTCAAAACTACACTAAATTAGGTTATTGGGAATGGTTGTTCCTAATCTAGGTTTTATGTTGAAAATTGTTATTAGGAACGACCATTCCAAGGGTAAGAACGACCATTCCGAGCCTAAATTAGGGTTTCCTTGACTTTTTGTGCAGAAACGCCTTCCCGAACTTCCTGTGCTTCTTCTTGGATCGTCTCCGTACCTTTCGTGGCCTCCGGTGGTTGCTCCTCTTGTCTTAGAGGTTTCCCAATCTTTGTAAAAAAATCCCAGACAAAAACTAGTGTTTATAGTTGCCCCTATTTACTTGTCCTTTGGGTAGCAAGACATTGTGATTGCATTTTCCAAAGACAAGTAAAGACGTAGACATTTTGTTCGGGTCTTCAACTTCCCGTCTTCATGGGGATGAGTGGGGGTAAGTATCTTTTGTCGCTTTTCTAGGCTAGTGTAGGTGCTAATGCTCGACAAGATTCATTAATGTCTTATGGTTGAGTGAGTTCATTTTTTTCAAGCTTCTCCAAGCTCGATGAGTATTCTTTGCTACCCTTTCTAGGCTTGAGATGAGTATTTTTTGCTAGCCTCTTCAGGCCTAAAGTGGGTGTTCTTTGCATAGTCTCTTCAGGCCTAAGGTGAGTATTCTTTGTATAGCCTCTCCAAGCCTATTGAGTGTTATTGAGTTAACCCTCCAAGCTAAACAAAGATTGACAGTTCCACGTCGACCGAGAGTATTCTTGAGCTCAAACTCTCCAAGTTGGATGCTCTAGTGGAAAATCAGTCTTTTACGTCAACATTTTCTCGTCGGTCATAAAAATACCCATTGTAAAAAATACGCGGTGGCATTTTTGAAATTAATCTAAACTTTTTTACGTCGGACCAAAGGGGGTCCGATGTAAAAATTAAAATCTACGTCGGTGATCGAAGTCGTATCCGGTCAAATAATTGCAATTAAATGTAGTACTAGGAAGTGACTCCTAGGTCGTCTCCCAAGGACTGTCTTTTACTGTTAAAGGCTTAAACACACGAAGCGGGGGGTTTGGTTCAGATTTTTTTTAGTTAATAACAATATAAAATACAGATAACACAGCAAGTAAAATAGATTGGCTCCTTGTTCGAATTATAACTCTCTTATCCTTGGTTCACAATGAGGTTACTCTATTAACCACTTAATCCTTGTTCCATCCGAGTTAACCAACTAAGCGAAGATTAACTCAAGATTTCCCTATACGAATTAAGCAAACGTATACAACATCAACCTCTTCACAGATTAAGCAACTGTGGCATTGGAGCACAACCCATTAAGCATGGACACATTGATACAGAGGTTAAATGGAGAAGAACAAAGCAGAATAGAGATATAAAAACATACCCAACCTCAAACAGAAATTACAATCCATAACAAGAAGCCAACCCAGGGGTTTTTAGCCTTCCATTAAAATAGAACAGAAACAGAAATGCAAGGCAGAGAAGGGAAACAAAAATGCAAGGCATAGAAGGAAAACGAAATGAGATGAACAATCTGTATTCAAAATGAAAATGGAGTCTCACATTACAACCAAAAAAACTAAAGAAAACGTGAAGAAAAATGGAGAGCAGCCAAAACAAAGAGGAAGCAAAAACGTCCAAAGAAAAACCAGAGAGAAGGCAAAAACGTAAAGGAACAAAGAATGAGAGAGAGCTCTCACGTAGTCACATCAGATTATTCATCCTAGTGGCTGCCAAGTCAGCCCTACCCTAGGCTCCTATGAGCTAAAACGAAAATGGGCCCCCCAACCATTACAAGTCTGACCCAACTACAATAAAATAGACTAAAAACTAAAAATGAATGCTGAGGTGGAAAATGGTGCAGCAGTGACATGGCAGATGACGTGGTAGATGACGTGGCAGCTCCACTTGAAGTCCATAAATTAATTCCAAGCCCAGATAATTATTAAACTGCCCTGAAAATAAAAATTGGACTAATTAGATTCAGAAAATTCAAATTAGTTAAAATATGAATTACTGGTCCAATTAAAGCCCAAATAGAAAATAGTGCAGAATATAAACACTTAAGCACAAATCAGAGATTAAAATAAGTACAGAAAGGTAAGAAAATAAGGGAAAATAATGACTCATCAGTCGGATATGAAGTACAGTCCGACGTAGATTTCAATTTTTACGTTGGACCCCTTTTGGCTAGATGTAAAAAAGTTGTTTTATTCCCCCAACACCTTCACCTTTTTCTTATTTGTGTGCGTAAGTGTTTTTACATTGTTTTCCTCTAGCAATTTTTGGCAATGGTGGTATGAGACCTTTGGGTGTTTTTCGGTCACGGTGAGCAGCGACGACAACGGAGGTGAGACCCATTTTTGATTCTGAACCTATCTCTCCGATTAGGTTGAAGCATTTAAGCGTTTTCACGGATTGAGGTTAGTGCTTTCATGCGTGTGTTGATCTTTTTGTGTAAAAATGTTTTTTTATTCCTGCACGCGAGTGTTTTGACAATATTTTCCTCTCCAGCAGTTTTCGGTGATAGCGGTGCGAGACCTTTAGGCGTTTTTCGTTCACGGTGCACGGTGACAAGACCCATTTTTTATTCTGGACCTATCTCTCTGATTGGATTGAAGCATTTGGGTATTTTCTAGAAGTGTTCACGAATTGGGGTTATTTTTTTGTTTGTCTATCAACCATTTTACGTCGGATGTGGAGGATGTCTGACATAATTTTATGTCGACTAAAACACCCGACATAAATTTACGTCTCCCGCATTGATGTCAGACTTTTTTTCGACGTAAAAAGTCCAAAATAACATACGTAAAATGTATCTTTTGTACTAGTGATGGGGATTGATGTTTCCATGCCAATTGAAGGTATCTTCTAAGCACAGTCTCCTTAGATTGGACGATTATTAGTGGTTCATCATCGATTGAAGGTATTCTAAGCGCAGACTCCTCGGGCTAGACGAGTATTAACGGTTCCTTGTCGATTGAATGTATCTTTTAAGCACAACCTCCTTAGGCTAGATGGGTATTGGTGATTCCTCGTTGGCTGAAGGTATCTTTTGAGCACAACCTCCTCAGGCTGGATGGGTATTAGTGGTTCCTCGCCAGTTGAAGGTATCTTCTGAGCATAGCCTCCTCAGGCTGGATGGGTATTAGTGGTTCCTCATCAACCGAAGGTATCTTCTA